CCAAGGTTGGCCCTCCAGGAGCTGGAAAATGTCCGCCACCCAATGCATGGCTGGCCAGAATGGGGCCACCAGAATGAGAGTGTGGCGCTGGGTTCGTACCCTCAGCAAGGTGGATGGTATCAGGGCCACTGGGGGAAAAGCGTACAGCAGACCCCGTGGCCAGTCGTGCGCCAGCGCGTCCACGCCGAGTGGAGCGTCTCGGTCGCGCAGGGAGAAGAACAGAGGACACTGAGCATTCTCCTTGGAGGCAAAAAGATCCACTACGGCTGTGCCGAACCGGATCCAAATCTGTTCCACCACTGCTGGATGCAGTCTCCAATCCCCGTACAGGGGTGTCCCTCTGGACAACAGATCCGCCCCCCGATTCAGAACACCCGGGACGTGGGTGGCTCTGATTGAGAGGAGATGCCTGCTGCACCATAGGATCAGTCTGCGTGCCAGTGTGTGTAACCGCACGGAGCGCAGCCCCCCCTGGCGGTTTATATATGCCACAGTCGTGGTGTTGTCTGTTCTCACTAGGACATGATGGCCAGACAGAAAAGGCAGGAAGCGCCTCAGGGCCAGAAAGACCGCGAGGAGTTCCAGATAATTTATGTGTGTCCCCCAGAGCTCTCTGCTCCACACACCCCTGACAGAGCGACCCTCCAGGAGCCCCCCCCAACCTGACAGGCTCGCATCTGTCGTGACCACTTTCCTCACGAGAACCAACCCCAAAGGCACCCCTTGTGCCAAGAGGGAGGGGTGACGCCAACAGCGGAGCGCCGCGACGCACGCTGCAGAGACCGTCACCCTGCGCGCTCTGTGGCGCACTGGAGAGAGACCCAGAGAAGCCACCCAGCGTTGAAAATCTCTCATGTGTAGACGGCCGAGTGGTACCACTGAAATAGCCGACGCCATGAGACCCAACAGCCTGAGGCATAACGCAAACCGCACCGAACTGTGTAGGCGGAAGCGCGCCAGGCAGAGCGAGAGCGCGTCCACGCGCGGTGTCGAGAGACGGGCCGTGAACGCCCCTGAGTCCAGATTCAGACCTAGAAAGGTTATTTTCTGGGAGGGGAGTAAAGCGCTTTTCTGCCAGTTTATTCTGAAACCCAGACCACACAAGTGACGGATCACAACCAGCGTGTTTGACGCTGCCTCCTCTCTGGATCGTGCCAGCAGGAGCCAGTCGTCTAAATATGTGGCCAGTCGAATGCCCCTCCCTCTCAGAGGGGCGATCGCCGCCTCCGTACACCTGACAAACACCCTCGGGCTCAGCGAGAGGCCGAATGGGAGCACGGTGTATTCGTAACACACTCCCTGAAAGGCAAACCTCAGAAATTTCCTGTGTGGAGGGTACACGGGAATATGAAAGTATGCGTCCCTCAGGTCGATTGAGGTGAACCAGTCGTTCTGGTGAATCAGACGCAAAAGGGATGAGAGCGTGAGCATTTTGAATCTGTACTTTCTGAGGCATCGGTTCAGGGCCCTCAGATCCAGGATCGGGCGAATCCCGGTCCCTCCCCGTTTCGGGACCAGGAAGTACCTGGAGTAGAAACCGCTCTGAGACCGATCGGGAGGCACAATGCATATCGCTCCCTTCTCCAGCAGGGAGGAGATTTCTCCCTGAAGGATGTGAGCTGACGACCCCCGGGCGTGGGAGAACACTACGCCGGAGAATCGAGGAGGAACTGAGGCGAATTGGAGCCTGTAACCCCTCGAAATTGTTCTTATCACCCAATGTGAAGCAGAAACCGCTGTCCATTCCTCCATGTGAGTTGAGAGCGGTGACACAGCCGTGACACACGGAGCACCAGCTCCCCCCAGAGGTTGTGGGGCAGCAGTGCTCGTGGCAACCACTGCGCATGCGCGGGGGCTTTGTGCTTTGACGGCCCAGGTGTACGGGGACGACCCGTGGCTGGCTAGAAAGTCCGCCAGGGGCCGACCCCGCCTGGGACCGCTCATGGGTAACATTTTTATTGATTTTTGCTGCGCCCTTGACATTTTGTCTGGATGCGGCAGCGAACGTTTTAATGCTCCTTGAGCGTGACATGTTTGTGAAAAACAACAATGTGAGTGCTTGTGACGTGTGTTCTGAGCCGGCACAGCCAGCTGCACGTCCTGGCCCCACCCTGGACCGCTCGGGGACTCTGCCGGAGGGGTTCCGTGAGGGGGGGAGAAAGCACCATGGCAACGTTGAACAGGAGGGGCTGGCGAACGGGGAACTGCCAGCTGCAGCGTCGGGAGGGAAAGAACTCCGTCAGGCTGCCCTCTTCTTCTTCCTCACCTGCTGACCGCCGGGTCGGGTGGATTGTCCCGGCGGCGGAGCAGCTTGGTTGCCGGATCGCTGAGGCCACACTGGTCGAGGCGCTGAGCCCGAGGGAGCTGGTTGGACAGCTTGAGGCTTCGGGCGCTTTGGGATCCGGAACTGAGGCTGGGCTCGGGGTATTGCCTGAGGAAGGTTCGGCCGAGCCGGCAGTGCCGGTGAAGGCTTACGGGGAAGGCAGAGATGAAGGGCTTCATCCTCTTTCTTTTTGGCCTCACACCGTTGCTGCATCGATACCAGGGCAGAGCCGAAAATGCCTTCAGGCACGATTGGCATGTCCAAAATGTCCTCCTTCTCTTTATCAGAGAGGTTGGTGAGGTTCAGCCAACGTGCACGTTCCTGAAGCACCATCATGCCCATAGCTTTCGCCGTAGCCTGGACCGCGCAGCGCTGCACCCGCAGGCAGATGTCGGTCAGTACGGTGATTTCCTCCCACACCTCCGGGTCCGGCTTCGTATTCATGTCCTCACAGAGCTCGGCTTGGTACGCTGAGAGCATGGAGGAGACATTCAAAGCTCGGACCGAGATGGCGGCAGCCTTGTACGCCCTCTCGTTCAGCGCCGACTGGAAGCGGTCCGCCTTTGCAGGGAGAGCGGGAGGCCTGGAGGAAGTCGCCGAGAGCCGTGGGTGCAGGTGGGCTGCAACCAGCGGTTCCATCGGCGGCATGCGAAGCATGCCAGCCCTCTCCATCCCCTCGAAGTCCAGCGAGGAGGCTCCTTGGACCGGAGACCTTGAGCTGAAAGGGTGTTTGTCCCAGGAGGACCTCACTTCTTGGAGAAGCTCCGGGAAGGCGGGAAGGAGGGGCTTTGCCGCCCTTGTGGCCTGAGGCAGCTTCTTACCCTCGTAGCGGGACCTGACAGCCTCAGTGACCACGGTGGGCCAAGGGATGTTGAGCCTGGTCGCAGCGCGTCGGCAGACTGACTGCATGTCCAGGTGAGCGGCCGGAGAAGCCGCTCCATCCCTGGGAGAGGACGGAAAGCTAGGCATGGAGGCCTGAGCGACGGGGAGAAAGACGTCGTCATCCTCGTCCTCCTCTGAAATGAGGAGTTCCGAGGTGTCCTCGTCGTCTCCGTAGTCCAACTCCAACACGTCCTCGACGGGGTGGCTCGGACCGGCCAGTTCGAGCTGTGAGCCCCAGCTGAGTTCGGCACACGGTTCCGGCTCCGGGAGGGCATGTTCGCTGGCGTCCCCAGGCGGTGGCCCAGGGGCCGGCAGGCAAGGGTCCTTCCCCGACAGGCTAGCTTGGCGCGCTAGCCGCCGGCGAAGGCTCTTCAGGGTGAAGCAGGCACAGTTCTCACATGACCCGGGGACTTCCAATGCCAGCTGGGCGTGTTCCAGCCCGAGGCAGCTCGAGCAGACCTTGTGCGGGTCTTTGCTTGAGATTTTGTTCCCACAGGTACAGAGGCGAGCTCCTGAGCCATCGACTCCTCTGGTGGGAGGAGCGGCTTCCATGTTGGCTAACTGGTGTGTTAGCAGAGAGCGAACAGGTGCACTGGAGTGTGAAGCTGCTCGTTATGCCCCGAACCTATGGTGAAGGTCAGGACAGAAGGACGGTAAGTTAACGTTCGGCGACGGAGAGAATATTAGAAGGCTCCGTCTGTGAACAGTTGAGCTAACTTACCTCAGAGATAAGCGACCACCGAAGCGAGAAGAGGTGATTGAATAGTGCGTACGTGGGGACGCTTGCTACTTATAGTAGCAGGGGGACGCGTACGTCACGGTCACTGGCCAATCAGGATTGGCGTATTGAGATAAGTGCTTCTGAGGAATCCGCGGAGGGGCGTATCCCATAGTGAGACATCGAAACGAATGTTAAGAAAGAGAACACATTTCTTATTTACCTAAACACACGTGTGTTAAGGACCTGAAACTAAACTAAATTCAATCAGAACACATTCAACATTTCAGCTCAATAATGTCTCTATTCTTGTTTGGTTGTTGTTGGTCATCATGAAGAGGAGCATGCAACGACCTTTAGAGGATAAAAGAGCAATTAGTGGAGATTAAAAGGAAACGCAGGAGTGTTAAAATGCACACACACACACACTAATCAATCTCCATTGTGGCAGCAGGGCAGCAGCTAAGTGGAAATCATTTACTTAAAGTCATTATGGAAAAGGAGAAAGAGGTCAGCGGAGGATCCAGCTCCTCTATAAAGACACAAACATCATGATGCTTTTTATTTAATCTGCAAAAATCTCTCACCATGAAATAGATTCTTGTTTTCTGTTCCTCTTTAGCACCCTGGAACTATAAGGTTACATGTTTATAATGTAAACACAGCTTAATATTAAACTATCAGACCCATATCAAGCTGTTTGACTCTGAAATCCCTCGTGGGACACTTATGTATCATGCATACGGTAGTTTTTATTGTGGAGTTATACTATTTTGTACAAATACATTTATGACTGTAATTCATACAAGTGCTGAGAGGAGAATACGCTCAGCAAATGCCCATCCCCCTTTTCTGCTCTTCCTCTGGATGAGTAAACCCCTGGAAACCCGCATCAGTCTGGGAAAGCAGCCAAGGCTCCTCGTGCAGATCAATATTGATCCGACAGCAGGAAAAAGTTGGCAGGGGTCATGTTTAAGTTGAAGTCAACTATCAGGTTCTTTTTGCATTCTCCCTCGGGGGTCAACATGCCTCAATTACACCGATGACATCCAGCGAGAGTGTGTTAGCGCTACTAACCTCTGCGTGGTTTTCCTCCATGCAGAACAAAAACTCCTCCAGTTTCTGCAACAAAAGGGAACATTTGTAGAGGTCACACGATGGTAAACCTGTTCATGAATTATGCAGATTCTAATTACGCCGGTCGTGGACTGTATGTGTGCAGCATCATCATGTTGTGAAGAGGCCATAATTATTCAACACAGACATGAAAAGAAAAATAAAACGGCTTATTTTTGCGGCAGGTTTCCTTAGTTAGTATTCAAGACTTATAATTTTACATTCCTCACTATGAAAGGAGGGTAATTACCAGCCCTTTTAGAGACCAACCCATTGTTTGTGGCTTAAGGGTGAGTTCGTAAGATGGCGGGGGGGCAACAAATAATAATCGGTGATGCTAATTAACATTTTTAATTAAAAAATGATGGTGCATTCAACAGCTATTTTCAGGTAAACAGCTCTGACCATCAATAAAAGTCAGTTTATGATGATTTTTTTCCCTATGGTTTAGTTTGTAACACATTCACACAAACTAGACTTTCAAATCCTTGGATGATCCAGAGTTAGATGAATACGCACGACCATCAGGTTTCACTCAGAGTGATAGAGGTACATAAAAATGTACTTTGAATAAATTATCTGAGGTGTATTCTTTTTTAGTCAGAAAAGTGTCTCATTTGCTTACATAGAGGGGGGGGGATTTAAACATTGTACTGGAACCAGCCACTAGGGGGCGATTGGCCTTAACTCATTCACTGCCATTGACGACTAACGTCATCGTTTGCATTATTTTACTGTGTGGGCGTCTGAGAACAAACACCGTTCTCAGCACTGTGAGAACAAACATCCCAGCTCTAAAGCCGATCTTCATCCGCGTACGTCACACGTCACGTGATCAGGAAGCAGAACATCCATGTGTTAGGAGATCGTTTTGGGCCGCTGCTGTAAAAAAAGTGAGGCGCGAACCGGAAAAGCTTCTGCCGATCACAGTTCAACAACGGATTATGAAAGAACTGATAACGCTCGAAACGCGCGGATTCTTCCTGATGTAAGAGGTGAGTCTCCTCTTTGTTTTGGTGTCGACATCGTCCTAGCGCTTAGCGTTCTGTGACTCTTAAAAAACAGTAAAAACGGTGAGAAACGCTGGCAGCGAAGGGCTTTAGCGATCAGGAAACGTCTGGCAGCGAATGAGTTAATCTTCATTTTTCTGTTTCAACTCCCAGAGTCAGTTCCTGGGTCTGGTTTAAATACATGCTGACGCTACCTCAGCATGAGAACTGCAACCAATAATTAGTTGTGAAACACAGAATTTTACAGTTTGATGTTAAAACAACCAAAACTAGAATCCACATTCGAGAGTAAAAGTGTTTTTTATAACTAAAAATTAAATTAGCTTTCCGGAGTTTTGCCCTTTCAGAAATAATGTATGATTTGTCAGAAATCAGTAAAAGTGATTATCTTATCATGTGCAGTGATCTAATGAAAGCAATACGTCTTTATTTTATTTATTTATTTTTGCTAAGCACGCCCCCTGCCCTGTAGAGCTCCGTGCAATAGGAAACTGAGCGCCGACCAGAACTAACCAATAGCGTTAAACTACCTCTTAGATGCTTTGAATTTAAGGAATACCTCGGCTGATGCAGAGTTGATGAACATTTCACGGACAAGAAAGTGTCTAAAATATAAACATATGAGAAAACAACATGACATGAGAATAATACTCGTAAAACAACGTGTTTTAGCTGTTTTTCGGCTACAGAAACCCATTTAAAACAGAAACGTGAAGTCGCCATCTTAAAAAAAATGGAAGGGGTGTGATATGCTTGTCAGCCACTAGATGGTGCCATCGGATAAGAGAAATACTCTGGAAAGAAGCTTTCAAGTGTTTTCTATCACATAGTGAGTGATTGAAGACACGATGCATAAGCATCAAAAGTCTTCTGTTTTTACGGCAACGCACATATGTCTTTTTATTATAGGTGTCAAATATGAATTCAATTAGATTTACTGTAGACAGACCTGAAGAGAAGTTGAGCATTTCTTAAATTAGGCAGATCATCTAACAGGTTTGTGCCAAATGTTTCATGCTTTTTCATAATTTTAAACATTTTGGGCATAAAACAAAGGATTTTTAAATGGATTTGTTATATAAATGATCATTTTCCATAGATTAAAGCCAAAAAGACTTGTAGATTTCAAAGAGAAGATGGCATGCAGTTGTATTTATGATCATAGTACAACAATTTACATAAAAATACATATAAAACAAAGAAATAACAAAAAAAGTGATGGAGACAATTTACTTTAATTGCATTTCTTAGCCCCAAAAAAATCAGCTTTAAAAATTTTGCAATCGTGACATTATTGTCACTCCATACACTGTGGGTGGGTAGAGGTGCATACACTGTGGGTGGGTAGAGGTGCATGGAGTGACACACTGAAGTCCATTATGACTTATAAGAATGTAAATCATCATCACACACGTTTGGAACAGGGAAAGGGCTGCGGGGTGATTTTTTGTTTGTATCGTTGTGCCTTAAAAAAATCAGAGTACACAATACAGAGAGAGAAATGGCAGGCTGTCTCACCTGTTAGCTCTTGGAGACATTGTTAGGAGGTGCCGGGCTTTAAGAGGAGAAAGAAAAACAGAGAGAAACAAAAGAGAGAGCAGAAAATGGTTGCATGCAGTTAGAGAAAGGAGGTCAGGCCAAGATAATTCAATGTAAAGAGTGTATTGATGGATGCAAACGGTGAATTTATGGAAAAAATGATCAAATAATGGAAGAATTTCAACAAGTTCTGAAATGTGAGTTGAACCTTAGCTAGGGATGGGTACCTTTGACATTTGAATCGAACCGGTACTAATTCCCGGTACCTACGAATCGATACCGGTACTTAACGGTACCAATTTTGAGTGTTTATTATTTTAATTCTCTTTTATAATTAAATATATATTTTTCTCAATATATAACAATATTTGATAAATATCACGATAAATAACATCAACTGTTTGTATTTCAACATCGTCCTTGTAGTTTTATAAGCTGAGAATTAAACTGAAGCAAACATCTTTACTGTGAACTAAATTTACTGTGTATCTTCATTCCTTTTGCCGTCCTTTTTCATTTGATTTTCCCTACTGGGAAGTTAGAATTTCCGAGGAGAAAGCGAACTCACCGTTAGCTGATAACAATGGTTGCAATGGAAGCTAACATATCAAGCTAACGTTATCTTAAACAGTTTATTTAGCTGCTGGAGCAGATTAAAACGATGATGCCTCACACTTAGATCGTTGTCGCTGGTTTCATCTTCACCCGTAGCATTTAGTAAAGTGAAGCCAAACTTTAGAGCGCGTTCATGTTCTTCTAGTCGGGAATTCGGAGTTCCGAGGAGAAAGCGAACGCACCATTAGCGAAACGGAAGCTAACATATCAAGCTAATTATATTTACCTACCGGAGCAGATTAAGATGAGGATGTCTCACTTAGATAGTTGTCGCTGGTTTCATCATCACCCAGTTACCCATCACATTTAGTGAAGTGGACCCAAGCTTTAGCGTGCGTTCTTTCTACCATGCTGCTCTGTTTACAACTGGTTCACAGCGAGCAACGACATAACGCTCTTGTGCATGTGCAGCTGTCTTGGCAAGTTCTCGTTATGATGGACGGGTACCGAAACGAGGCACCGTTTGAAATGACGTGAATCGGTGCTCGATCGGTACTATGGAATTCAGTCGGTACCTTAAAAAGTACCGAATTCGGTACCCATCCCTATAAAGGACCAGAAACGACTAATAATCTGGAGACAGACCAATAAATTCACACAGTCAATGAAAAATTAATGGACAGTTTTTCTGGTAAATTAAATTCCCCACAAATTAAAATAACAAAAGCACTGTCTTCCAAAAACATGTTGTGCGTTTTTTCTTTTTCACCGCTGGCTCTGTTGGTTTTGTTTCTGTCTCAGATAAATCAATCAGACTTTGTTGGTGCAGGAAAGTGAGAGAAGAGGAGAGAACGAGTCCGACTCGGGCCTGAGGCGGCGGACCTTGGCTCACAGAGGGATAGACCAGAAGAGAAAACACACAAACCCAAGAAACACATATTATCATGCAGAAACAGGTTCTGAAATTCCGCTCTCCATAGAATTAAAATATTCAGTGGAATTCTTTGCGAATGGCTTCCTCCCTCGTTCCAGCGTTTTCTTTGTTTGGAAATACCTCGGAGACAGCACGCCAGTCGGCTGCTGCTCCCCTCGCTCGCTGTGGTCGACAGAATTTTAGACTCTTGCAGCAGCTTGAACTGAAAACATCCTCTCCAGTCGAGTGGTGAGGCTGACAAAGCAGGTATGCTTTATTTTAGGTCAAGCTTCACGCTGCATTACAGGAACAAAAAGAAACAAAGTGAATCTGAAAACGTGCTCCAGTTTAACCTCTCCGTGACAAACACGGGTTGTTTCACCTCAGGGCCTAAAAGTCACAAAACAGAGTCTAAAATTCAGGACTCTTCATATCGGAGTATCTCTGTTTCACTAGATAACAGACGGGGACTTAGATGCTTTTAACGACATATTTACTGTTACCTTTGTGAACTCTGAGTTCTGTAAGTTGGCCTCAGGACACCAGCGTCCACCAAGAGCTGTCAGCATGGCACAATCTTCTTCTTCTTTGGTGCAAGGTGGGATTGGAAGACCAACGTGTGCAGAGGGGAGGTCCTCAATGTCGGCTTCGTTGCAGCTTGGAGTTCGCAACTGCAGACCACGCAAGAACAGGTGACACACTTCCAGGTCAGCTTCCCAAATCCGCTCCAAGCCAGAGCAGCCACAACTAGATTGGGAAAAGGGACAAGTGTATAAAATATAAATAATGGATTTTCTGTAATGGATGAGTACAAATGTTTTTATCATATTGAGACTTTTTGTAAAGACAGAAATGATGGAAGTAAGTAAGTACATTTTATTTATGTAGCACTCATGGTAAAAATGGTAAATGGCCTCTATTTGATATGGCGCCTTCTAGAGTCCTGGAACCCCCCAAGGCGCTTTACAACACAATCAGTCATTCACCCATTCACACACACATTCACACACTGGTGGGGATGAGCTTCGATGTAGCCACAGCTGCCCTGGGGCGCACTGACAGAGGCGAGGCTGCCGAGCACAGGCGCCACCGGTCCCTTCGACCACCACCAGCAGGCAACGTGGGTTAAGTGTCTTGCCCAAGGACACAACGACAACGACAGACTGAGCGGGGCTCGAACCTGCAACCTTCCGATTACGGGGCGAGCACTTAACTCCTGTGCCACCGTCGCCCCGAAAGAGAATCACAAAGTGCTTCATATGGATCAAAAACAAAACTATGTAAGGATAAAGGAAGATCATTCCAAAGCCGGGTGTGCAACAGTCTGGAAGTAGTGATCACCTCGACTTTTATATCTAGTCTTTGGAACTTCTAGAAAGTTCTGGTTTGGACCTGAGGGATCGGGTTGGAGCATAAGGCTTCAACGACTCAGTAATATAAGAAGGAGCTTGACCATGTAGAGCATTGAAAGTTTTAGTCAGGATTCTAAAATCAATTCTAGAGTTAATGGGTAACCAGTGCAGATACATTAGAATAGGAGTGATGTGAGCTCTACTGTTTTGTCCATTTAGGAGCCTCGCTGCAGAGTTCTGGAAGAAATGGTCAAGAAACTCCGCCGGGGACTAACCGTCAGTAACTATAGCAACCATTGCAACGCCATAATGCTGGAGGTGCAAGCACACCAGTGCCAGTCAGAAATGGATGTAAGTTGTGTAGGTCATTTTAAAATGTACAAGATACGGGGATGTTTTAAGAAAACTTCAAATGAAATAATAAAAATGTTATTTTATTAATGAAACGAATAACTTTGTAAACAGTAAACTTTGTATACACAAAAATGTGTAAATAATCAGTGTGAATGAGATTAAAATAGTTTATAATAACTTTTTTGCACATTTTTAGACAAATACTGCTTGTTTACACTTCTGACATAACATATTCTCACAATGCATTGTAGGTATGTTAATGTGTTTATGTTTATTTATTTGGCAGACGCGGCATACAATTTTTAACCTATAGGGCATGTTGTGATCTGTGGGGGACCATGAGGAATCCCACATATGCATGGGGAGAACATGCAACTCCACGCACAAAGGCCACAGCCGAGTTTCGAACTTGCAACCTTCTTGCTGCGAGGCAACCTTGCTAACAACTGTGCCACCATGCAGCCCCGTAACCAGTAATTTCAGCATTATTTTAAACGTTTCATTGAAATATACAATAGGATAAACAGACACATCTATAGACATAACAGAAAAAAATCCTGACTGATCATTATTTATATTTTTGGCAGTGTCCAAATATGGTCAAAACAATAATTTCACTTCCTTCTCTCATTGATATTAGTGTAATAAAAGCGATTTTTAGTTAAAATCTAAGCCTTTTAATACATTTGAAAATACCACACTAATATTTACACATTTCCATGAATTTCAGACATAAAGGCCAGGCTACTTGGGCTGAAGCCCCGGATGTTTCATAGGAAGCCCCGGATCTAAATCGCGGAAGTAACATGCAGTACGTCTGTTTCTTTCAAAGCTCATTAGACTAACATGCAGTACCAAAGTCCAACAGAGAAGGAGCAGCTGGCAGTAGTTTGTATACAGCCTGCCTGAGCCTCCACCACTGAAGAAGAAGCCCTTCAGCAACCAGTTTCTTCTACACTCTCTACCTGAAACGCATGAGTGAAGATGGACATAAGGACGTTTTTTTAGACCAAAAGTACGGCGACAGAACCCCAGCTTTGATGAGACTGGTGCTGACTCAGGTTTGTGAGTCTTATTTGAAAATATTTGTTGTGCTGCTGGTTTGCCTAAAGTTAGCTTACTATCAGGCAAAGTTGTTGGAGAAAGAAAGGGAATATTTCATCTCACACTAAACACTAACAGGAACAATACTCTGCACTGAAAATGCTTAATATGTAGCTTCAGATTAAAAATTATGTGGTACAAGACATATATGATGTTGACTAGTGCCTGTCACGTGTGTGCGTGCGCGCGCACGTGCGTGTGTTAAGCCCCGGATGTTCTTCAGTCCTTAATCCGCCCCTGCACGCAGAAGAATCTGAATGCAGCCAAAATGTACCAAAACGCCCCGTAGTGTCTGGCTGCAGAAAATATCACAAGCCCCGCCCCCTCCAAGTAAATAAGTCAGACATTTTCCAGATTGAAGAAAGCACACTTCAGGTATATTTTTCCAAGTTTTAAAGTATGTTGACACACATAGTTAGCTTACAGCTAACGTTCAAATAATCAGTTTTCGTAAAACATTTTTTAGTTCATTTGGTGCTTTAAAAAATACACATATAGAGATGTAGATATATGTATATATACACTGCTATTATCCTGTAGACCAGGGTGGCCAAACTCAAATTCACGCGGGGCCGAAATGAAACTCTGGGACGGAGTCGAGGGCCAAACTTAATATTTTTTGAAAAAGTGACGGCAAATTTGCACATTTTCTTTATCAACATATATGCAATTTTGAACCTTTAAATTTGGAAACAAACATATTTTTGCATCAACACTGAATGTGGAATAACCAAATTACACACGAGCAAGTCAGTTTTAAATAAAAGGCATCAGTGGTATTCATTACTTGTGGTATAATCAGCATTTTTAAAATCTATTCAGGATTTATGTTTTCTTGTTGTTTATTAATTTTTCTCATTTTTTATTCTCCTTTTTTCTCCTGTAATACGTGTCATCGCTGCTGTGACATCTAGCTTTCCCCACTGAGGAACAATAAAGGGATTTTCTATTCTATTCATCTATCTGCAGCCTTTCCACTTCCTGTTTACTGTAGGTTAAATCTTTTCTCACGGGCCAACAACAAAATAAAAATATCATTTTATCTTAAATGAAAATGCAATATCTCACCTGTTAACTTTCATGTTTTGGAGCAGAAAAAGAGCATAAAACCAACATATTTAAAGCTCAGTTTGCTCCACTGGTTTACTGTGATGCTCACCTGTTCCAGCCACATACCTGCATCATGGGGTTGATCTGAGCTGAGGAGGAGACTCCTGTTGTTTTGTTCATCTTCATCGTAATAATGACAACATTAGATGACAACAGGTGCTCACATAGGTTTGTGCTGCTGAACATGTCTGAGCAGCTTGACCACGTTGTTGTGTGTCGGGGAGGAAAAATAACAACTACAGCAGCCACAGAGTCGTGCTGGTTTGAGCGTGTCACTGCTCGCTGGAGTTCTTCAATTCAATTCAGAAATACTTTATTAATCCCAGAGGGAGATTGATTGCTGTAGTAGCTCAGAATAATAATAATCAAGTCATCAAAGAGTTGTTGTATATTACAACGGCTGTTGGCAGGAAGGATCTCCAGTAGCGGTCAGTGTTGCAGCCAAACTGAAGAAGCCTCTGACTGAAGACACTCTTCCGTTGTCGGACAGTCTTGTGAAGAGAATGCTCAGGGTTGTCCATCATTTTCTTGATTCTCTGGAGAATCCTTCTTTGCATTATCTCCTCCAGCGGTTCCACAGTCGTCCCCAGAACAGAACCAGCCTTTTTTATTTGGCTGTTGAGCCTTTTCAGGTCCCTGCTTCTGATGCTGCTACCCCAACAGATGATGGCTGAAGAGATTACACTCTCAACAACAGACTTGTAGAAGATCCGCAGCTTCTATTTCATCTAGTCTTAGCCCTTAAGCTAGCTGCTATTGGAAAGATGATCTCCGCATCAGCCAATCATGAAGAGCTTAAATGTATGCCCACCAATAGTAGGCCCCCTCGTGGTATATAACCGCAGTGACCCCACTGCTCACCTCCTTTTTCTCTTCATGCCAAGCTTGAGAGCTTCCTTAAAGAGCAAATATTTTCCTGAAAGAGCAAAATTATCCGAGAAGACGACTTACCAGCCATGTCCAGCGACGCCAGACCCTGACCGACCTGCCAGACGGGCTCCATTTCCAGCGGCGACCTGCACGCTAAGTGTGAGGTCTGTCTCGGGGCTCACCACGCTGGCCTGGCCTTGACCCCGCAGGCCTCTTGCCCGTTCTGTGCCGCTCTGCCCGTGGCGGAGAAGATTCGCCGGGTCGAGTACTTCACTCCCGCCGCCGACGAAGAATTTCCGGTGGCTGACTTGTACCCGCTGGACAAGGCTTTGGATTTTTTCGACGCTGGTCAGGAGCCGGCTGGCTTCAACCGGCTGGATGACGACAGCGAGAACTACGATGAGGTGGCATCCCTCCTAGACATAACGGAGGTCGACGAGCTTCGCTCAGCGGGTCCTTCTGCTCCAGTGGCTTCTCGCTCCTCCCTGCCAGCAGTAAGAGCACTGCTCCAGGAGCTGCCCGCCATCATTTCTGCGGCAGCAGCCCGCAAGGGGCTAGCTGTGCCAGAACCGGCCCCGCCTGAAGCGGATGATTTGGCGGGAATTTTCGGGGCAACTCAGACACGCTGTCAAGACCCTATCTAGCCGCGCTTCCCCGCTGCTATGAGCTGCTGGTCTGCCGCCTTCTCCGTGCCTGCCAAGCTCAAGGCGCCAGTCTCCACGTATTCGCCCATCACCAAGGTCGAGGGGTTTTCCGACCAAGGCTGGCTGTCCGTTCCTCCGCTAGAGCCGGACTTGGCCTGGCTGTTTGGCGCCAAGAACCACCTCGCTGGCCCGCGAGCTGTTCCCACTTCAAAACATAACCAGCTGCTGACGCGGCTCATCGACCGCGCACATCAGTGTGCCTTTCAGACCGGCGCTGCAGATAATAACATCGCCCTTCTTGCCTTGGCGTCTC